CCTAATTATCTATCATAAAGAATAGTGCCATTCTCTGGAATGAACAGGCGACAAATCCTTCTTCTTGAATTTTCCAAGTGTTTCACTCGCTGACGCAAATGCTCCATTAGTTACCTCATTGAACAAAAAGTCTTAGTTTCAGGATCGAAGAAAATTAATTTTATTAAAAAACCTTATCCGTTCTTGCCGTGATAAGCAAAACTGTTGCTAATTTAAAATTTTATTTTCTAAAATTTAGCCTGGGATAATTACCGGTAAATATTAAGCATTTTACCTTATGTAAGATATAGTTTGTGAAAAATTCATCGAGAAAAACTGATATTTTGTTCTTATATAGATTTCAATGTGCCTTGATTGAATGGTTTAAAAATATGTTCAAGGGAAAAAGGGAATTTCACCATATCTAACAACTAAAACATGTGTTTAATCTATTTCAATGAATTACATATATTATTTTTCTCTTTCGGCATGGTGCAAAAAAAGAGTTAAGAACAAAAAACCAATCGATCAATTCAAGACGATTCAAAAAAGAGAAAAATACAAAACTAAAGTAGTAGTGACACGTACAAAAACGTGCACAGGAAGTGTTTGAGAAGAGGAGAGCAAAGAGTAAGCGATGTAATTCGAAAGATGTACAACAAATAAGTTTTGGACTTTTCCAACAATATAATAACAAAAAAAATGGTAGACCAGAACAGAAGATATCAAATGCATATGCATGATGCAAGAGAAAAGAGCAGAGTGATCTGATACCCACTCTCCATGGTTTTTTCCACAAAATTAATTCGATCATTCAGTAGTACTGTAAGCGTAGTTAGAATAGATATGTAGAAAAGATTGTAGAAAAAATTCAAGAAATTATTTTTCAGTAGAAAGAAGAACGGAGCAAATTGTCTTCAGTATCGCCGGGGTATTCCTTGAGGCACCACATAATGTTGTTCATAACGTAAATCTTGCCGATTGGATGACGGTTGTAAAATTAATGTTTGCTGTGGATAAGACTGTGATGATAACGGTAAAGCGTACGTATTTGGAGGTGGATGCATAGGACCGGCTGGTTGCTGATAAACTGGTTGACTACGCTGAGTGGGAACAGAGGAAATGATATTTGGGATACGCTGATTGATACGAGTACGGTCGGAGTTAATTTGCTGATGATGATGTGGAAGAGATTGTTGTGCAGAGATCAAATGTTGTTGATGTACACCTGCATTTGGCGGCCAAGAATAAGAATCCACCGATATTGCATCTGAAACAACAAGTGAGAATAAGAGTTGTACACATCCAAAATCGATGCTAACTTTACTTTTCACATTCATTTCTGGATTTTGTTGCCGAGAAGGTGTAGCCCATGCACCCTGGGGTGATGAAGATGACGGGACATATTGATTTTGTATAAATTTATGACTATCTTAACAAAACAAGAAGAAAAGAGTCTATTTTTCGAATAATGCAATGGCTATATTTACCGTCAACAAGATAAGATGGCTCGCGTGCAGGCGGTTTCGATCGATCACTCCAATGTTCAAGCGGTTCGCGTCGGATGCTTGTGGTTGAAGGCGCGGGAGAACGCTGACCACCAATTGAATGAGAAACAGAATTTTGATGGATATAATCACGTTCATTATGATGTTGATGTTCAATATTTACATTACGATTAAGCACACGTGAATCACGTGAATCTGGAGGCCCACGAATGATTGTCTGTGAAGTTTGTTGTGCAGTTTGTAACGGTGGAGATGAGACACGATGAACTGATCCATCATACATAGACGATCTGCTGTAGGGATCAGAATAACGTTGAGACGAAGCAGATGATGATAATTGCTGTGTTGGATGCTCATCGATATAGCGTTGTGAGGTTCTTGTTGTAACTGGAGAAGGAGGTTCTCGATAAACAACGCGATCACGACTAGAACAAATACACACACACTAGAATTCTAAACAATCATTTCATTCTTTCTCATCTGAATCCTCTTCAGTACAATATTCACTCTTTGGCGTTCTAACAGGTTAAATCATGCTCGGTCTGTTGCAGTTGCAAATAGTTTTTCCTACTTACATGACTCTTTCCACAAAACATCTATAGAGTGGAATGGTTATATGAGCACGTAGTTATAGCTCATATTCAAAGGTGCGTTAGTTATCGTAATCTTTTTCCACTCTCTGTATGTTTCTCTTTCGGGATAGCGCATTTATAAGAGCACCATGCACTTTTTCTGCTTTTCCGTCCAACATCCTACACAATGATAGGATGATTTATTCTCGCTTTTCTTACCAGGTGCGTTTTTCTCCTCTCCTCTATTCTTGTTGACTATAAAAGCAAATCAAGTCGCCTCAGCATTTAGCTAAAGATAGTATATAAACCACTTACAAAACTTGATCGTGATGACTTGATAGTCGTTGATCATTATTTGTATTACTACTACCGCTGCTGCTTGAATAAGCGTGTCGTTTAGCCTGTGGGTAATAATCACTAGCGTCAGCTGATCGATCACGAATACTTGTTGACGACGAAGAAATTGAGGATGGATTTCTTGCAGGTCCACCAGACGATTTTGAAACGTGGCCACTACCAGAGTGTGATGATGTTGAAACTTGTAGAGGTTGTTGACGGGATGATGATGAATTATTCGGTCTCTTATTACTATTTGTACGTCGTTGCTCATAATTTTCTTCGCGTACTTTTGCTTCTTTTTGCTGTTGTAATCTCTGTTTTTCTTGCAATTGTTGTTGTTGTTTTTGTTGCTGAATTTGCTGTTGTTTTATCTGTCTTGCTTTTTGTTCCAATTCTGTTAAAAACAACATGATATAGATGAAAATGTATTTAACAGAAACAGTTACACAAGCCGTTTAATGGAAATTCTTACAAACCTTGTACTTGTCGCTGTCTTTCCAGTTCACGTTGTTCCTTTTCTTTTTCCATTTCTAGTTTCATACGAGCCATCTCTTCACGTTCACGTTCCAAATCAAGATATTCTTTCCGCATACGCTCTCGTTCTTCTGCTAAGCGGCGCTGTTGCTCTTTGATTTTTTCTTCTTCTTGCTGCTGTTGCAATAACTGTTTTCGTTGTAACTCTTGGTGTTGAAAATGACGCAAGCGTAGCTCGTTTTGTACACGACGTTCATTATCAGCTGATGAAGAGGGAGATCGACCATGCTAGAAAGAGAAAATAACATTCTAACTGGAATGATATTATCAATTTTTCTGGAAAGAACGCACCTTGTCTTTTTCCGATTTACGTTGGTGACTAACACCATGTGATCCTGGTACTTTCTGATTATTTGCTCCTTCATGACGATGGTGGGAAATAGCCGTTGTCTGTTGTTGTGAATGTAAATGTTGAGAAGCCGATGAATGTCTGTGTCGAGATTTGTCTGCACCAGTTGTGGGTATGTGAGCAGAGGAATAGGTTTGTAATAAATCAGGTGCTGTTATCGGTGTATTTTTCGATTTAACATCGTTACGCTCTCGTCTATCATGTGATCGACTTCTTTGTTGTTCGTCCTTTGCTGTGTTTGCTGATGTAACCGGAACATTAGAAGCAGATTTATGATGATCAGGCGCGACAACAGATTTCTCAGAATTACGATGAGCTTCTAAACATGCAAAAAACAATTATTTCAAATAATAATAATCGATGATAATTTGCGTCAATTTGTCCTTACCTACAGAACGTGATTTTTCACCATCTTTGTGTGCCGTTCTTATTGTGCCGCGGTCTATAAGATGAAAAACGACAGGCAACTAACAATTTGAGAATCTGTCTAGTAAATCTAAAAACTTATGGTCTTAAATTCAGGCTGTCCGACAATAAATGATTTTTAAAATGGTGAAAAAGAACACAGAAGCGTGATGTGTGCTAACGTAGCTAGACTTAATAAGATTAGAGAGATTAAAACCAGGGAGAAACAGCAATTTTGACTTAAATATGTGTGCGAACGTTACCAGTCTTCATATTAGCATTGGTCTGAACTTTTCCAACTTGTGCTGATTTTTCCGTTGGTATCGTCGGGGTTCGTGGTTTATGATGACTATTTGATGAACTTGTTGTCGATAATGTTCTGGATGAATGGTGTTTTGGCTGCTGTGCACCATCTGTTGCTAATTTTTTCCTCTCCACTTGTTGTCGTTGATTTTTATCAACAAGTATTTTCGATGTTGCCGTGTCTCCTTCATCTGTCTGTTCAATTGACCGCTTTCTTGAGTTAATATCATTTTTGTTAACTGTTGTAGTTTGCTGTTTTCCAATAGCTACATTTGATGGATCTTGTCTTTTCTCAGTATTCAAAGAAATTTTCACTTGTTCTGCATCAGTATGCTTTTTTAGTTGTTGTTCTGAAACTGATGATGAAGTTGTCGGTTTCTTCTCTTTTGTTTGCGATGAATGTGACGATGATTTACTCGTTTGTTGGTGCAGTTTTTGTGAATGACTGGATGCTCTTTCTGTAGCCGATTTTGCTTTAGATCTCTTCGGTGATGTACGAATTCGATCAAGTGCCTCCTGCAATAGACAATAAAATTCTCATAATAACTACAAGCAGAATGTTAACTTAGCAACTTACCTTTTCCACATAAATCGTTTTACCATGCAGCTGTGTTTTATGTAAACTTGTTATACATCGATCAACATCTTCACCAGACTGCAATGTTATATAGCCATACCATTGGGATGAATTTGCTCGACTAACCACTTTTGCTGCTAAAACCTACAAGCGGAAGACAACAGTGTATTTATTTGAAGAAATAGGCGCAAAGCTTTCAAAATGCTTTACTTCTCTAATAATACAGGATATATCTTTTCACTTCGGGAGTAAACATGAACTTTATCTAGTGAAAAA